AATAATCATTACTTTAATGGCAGATGCCTCCGTCCTCAGTGGAAGTCTCTTCGCCATCAGTAGGTAACAGTTATTGAGTGTTCACTGAATGAATTGAATGTTTTGTGCTTTCAGGAGATGTTCTCGGTCCTTCCATCAATGGCTTAGCCTCATTGATTCGGATGCCTTATGGCTGTGGTGAACAGAACATGATAAATTTTGCTCCAAATATTTACATTTTGGATTATCTGACTAAAAAGAAACAACTGACAGATAACTTAAAAGAAAAAGCCCTTTCATTTATGAGGCAAGGTAAGCATTTTAGAAACCTACTTTTGTTGGTAAAAAAAAAAGGTTTTTTTTTTTTTTCAGGCAGGGTTCACTCTAGACCATATTTCAAAACACACAGATTTTGTCTTTGGTTGGTGATGGTGGGTCTAGATGGTGTAGAAACATGCCGGAAGTGCAAGCAGTGAGAAGCTATTACAATTCTTCCTTCAGCTAACTGTTCACTCATTGCTGCTAAGGTGTTTGTTAGTAGTGGTTTAAGGAGTTAGTTTCTGGAAGGGTTTTTATTGTAATACAGGATCTGAAATTTAAAACTCTTTAAAAATCTAAAGGAATACTCATCCATTTGTTCATTACACATATGTGGAGTGTCTCTTAGTGCCAGGATCAGTGCTAGTGCCGAGGAAACAGGGAGTCAGGGCCTTTGCTCTTAAGGAATTCACTGCTCGGTGGAGAAGATGGTGTGTACATAAACACATGAGGTCCTGTGGCGGGACCTTCTCCATACATTTAAAATGTCAAACAGATGGAGTTAGGAGAGAAATGTTTGTATGGGGAGGACCTGCTGGCCCCTCAGAAAATGCCACACCAGTGATGACTATACCCCGACACCTTGAGAGGTGGAAACCGTCCACAGACACCAGACGATTTGTGTCAGCAACTTGCTAATAGCAACAGTTAAGGTGAGTTGAGTGCTTGCTGTGGGGCAGACTGTGTTCTAAGCACTTCACATCTCATCTCTCACTGAATGCTCGCAGTGAGTACTGTTAACGGTACCGTCCCTTTCCGAGTCACGGAACAGTTAACTGACTTGGCAGGGTCACATAGCCAGTAAGTGGCAGAGCTGGGATTCAGACTCCAAATTCATGCTCTTAACATCCACACCTAGGAGAAAATGAAGTGTTGTGAGATGTGTTTAACATTGCAAATTTGGTTTCCTGAAATACTCCAAAAGCCAACCCAAAGTTACAGTCTCAGTTTTGCATTTCCCCTTATTAGGGGACCTCTCACAAGATCTCTGTGTGGCTATTTCTCTCCACACAGTTTACATGATATATCCTGCTATATTCTCGTGAGGATTAGAAGGGTTCATAAAACATGATTAGAAATGCTTATTCAGTTAATCTAAGAAAAATAAAGTTCAACACTTTCCAAGTCCTAATTTTTTGTTTTTGGTTTTTTATAACAAACGAGTTAAATGCAAAGTAGAGGCAAGCTATTAGCTGTTTTGCTAATTTTTCCATAGAAGAATTAGAAAACTCAGTAAAGACACAATTTAAAAAATTTTTTTTTTATTTTAGCATATTACAGGGGTACAAATATTTAGGTTACATATATTGCCTTTGCCCCACCCGAGTCAGAGCTTCAAGCGTGTTCATCCCCCAGACGGTGTGCAATGCACCCATTAAGTGTGTATATACCCATAAAGACACCATTTTGATGTGAGTCTTTCTTCTGGGTTCCCTCATTATGTAGCTACCTGTTTATCCTAAACTAATTCTATGTAATAATGGTAAAAGCAACTAACTCTGTTTAAATGTTTTCCACATTTCATTTAATTCTTGAAAAAACTCTAGGAGGTGGGTGTACTGTTATTATTTCCATTTTAAAGATGAGTAAATTGAGGCACAGGGAAGTTAAATAACTCGTTATGGTCAACTTTGCCCCCAATCCTCCACCAGTAGTCTGGCTCTGAAGCCCACCCTCTTCTTTAGAACACTGTGTATAGTTCTAGTTTGCAATGTTCTTGGATTGTTAGAAGCAAAGGGGTAGGATGGGAAGGACCAGGAATTGGGCCAAGATGCTTGAGTACCAACAATGCGCCAGAGGTCTCAAAGGGGGTTCTGATACGATGGTGAGAGAGAAGCATGGGGTCCTGTAGGGACGGAGACGACAAATGTTAGACCCTGGGATGCTGGATTAGACTGCAGTGAGCGGTACAGTGTTGGGTTCTAGTAAATGAGCTGGAGTCAGCGTCCAAAGATCGCCCCGGGGTAGGATGACACAGATGAAGGCTGAGTGGGAGTCAAGGGGTTGTGAGTCAGGAACGATGCAGTGCCTGAGAGGACAGACCAAAGGAGACCAGGGTTTGGAATCAGGGCTGAGCGGGACCTGAGTTCTGAGTGGGGAAAGACATACTGGCATATTTACCCTGAGATTATGGCGGAGTCCCGAAGACACTGTGGCTGGCCCTCAAACCCAGGAGGTGGTTAGGTCCTCTGGGAAAGTTTCAAAGATCTGGCAGTTGGTGTTTTCTGTACAGAATTGCCCATGTAAAATTATCCTTCTTTATACATGTTTGTGGATCAGTCATATAATCAGTCATATTGT